TGTGTGTGTGTGTGTGTGTGTGTGTGTGTGTGTGTGTGTGTGTGTGTTTTAATTGGTCACGAGAAGCTGTCAAATATTAGAATTGTGAGTTAAACTGCTAATAAGTCCCAGGGTTGTCTGGACTCTAAGGATTGCTAATATGTGTCACAATGCCCTTCCCATAAGCCACATTTCACACTAAGCTTGTCACTTCAGATACTCAGCTCTGTAGGACCCTTTCAAACATTATCCTACCTAATAACCATCTTCCCAAGAGTCTTAATCCAGAAGCCATCACCCCTTGTTGCACTGAGTTTGGATCTGTCTGGGATATAAAACAGAGGTTTGGGGAAAAGAAAAGAAAGGTTAAGGTTCAAGGCCTCTGAGGTTGGAATCTGAGGTATAGCATGCATGTAAGGCTAGTCCGTATACTCAGCTAAAACATGGATATGACATATCACGAGGGCTCTCATACAATCTAAGGGAATCTTTCAAATTAGTACCTCTCAAGAAGTTGGGCACAATGGCATCCCACCAGCTGTAAAATTTTTGTATACATGACAACACAATAACTAAATGTAAGGCCAGGAGCTTCCAGAGCCCTCTACAAGTTGGAGCTGCACCATGCCAAGTATGTGGAAATGCAGAACTAGCCTGGAAAAAGATTCTGCAGGGTAAGAGTGTGTGCATGTAGCTGACCACGTCACCAAAGCCTGCAGAGGCATCTGCAGCTCTCTCAGAGGAATAACCGAACCCCCAGGCCACTCTCGTCACTCTCCAAGTGCCCTCTGAGGAATTCTGTCTGACCCCTGAAGCTGAAATACCATGTGCAATCTTTCAGAATCTATCAAAAGCCTGGTGTCTGTGCGCAGCCTCAGAACCTCTGAATTCAAAACAGGACCATTTCCTGGCTCAGAACTCCAGCTCCAAATTCCTTAGGCTCAGAACTGATGGGAAAACAGATCCTCTGCATTCTTCTGGTTTAGAAATCATTCAAACTGACAACAGATAGGAAACTGACGAGGAGATTTGAAATCTTCCATTTACATTGCCATTATTTGTTCTATGTGGTAGAGGACACAGCACCCCTAACCTTGACTTTTCTCATTTCTCTCAGCTGAAAACAAAACCCGTAACATGAATTAGAGTGTGTGAGAGCCGCAAGGGAGTGCCTTGTCTTATATGCTGTATCACACGGAATTCTAGAAGAGCTCCACAATTTTAGGTGTCTTTTCTCCCAATCACATCTCTCCACTATTTTTGTATTACTTGGCCAAATGATGTCACATATATTCCACACAGAACCTTCCCAGGAACAGCCTAAGAAGTAACACAACCACACAGGACAAAAGTGGATGGTGGTGGCTCATTGAAGATATAGGAAGAAGGGAGCTTCCCACCAACACCGACCTCCAAAATGCTCAAGCTGGACAGGACATCTGAGGTCCACAAGCTACCATTTTTTATACAAATGGAGGCCCATGGAGAGCAGGTAGGGCTTACCCACTCCTTATAAAGGCCAAGTCCTGGGGTTTCCTAGAGTTAAAGTTTTTCCACTAGCAAAGGGTCAAGAACCTCCTCTAGCTACTGATAGGAGCTGAGATGCTCTGTGAGAGAATAAATCACACACACACACGCACACGCAGGCATACACACCCTTGTGCATCAAGTCAGGGGCTTCTCGGGGTAACCAAAACTTCATCTCCCAATGCGTCACAGATCCTTGACCCTGAGTTAAGCATCTATGACCCCAGAGGAAGCATCTTTTCTTTTTCAAAACTTACCAACTCTGTAATATACTCTAATCCTAATGGTGTGATCTAAAAAATTCTGAGGGAAAGCAATTCCAGCAACTCAAAAAGATGATTTAATCCCTAATCAATATTTCCATATTTTTAACATGTATCAAGGAAAAGAAAAGGTTCAGGAGAAATTGAAACCTATACATATTTCACTAGCGATTTCACATATGGACCTGGGATATCTTTTCTCCTAATATGGAGATGGCTCAGCAGTATTTAAATGACTCCTTATTCCAAGTCATATAAATATGCACCAGATGTATCTTTTGTAAATGTTATGTTTTTCAAGTTCTCAGCATTTGCAAGTAGTTGAAAGCTATGTCAAGCATGCTTTAATGGGGCATAAAAGTGTATTGTACTCAAAGAGATGGCACCGCTTTGTAACAGGGAAAAATACAAATGTTGTCGATGGATACATTTCCACTTACTGATTTATGCTGCACAGCAGAACGTTCTGTATTCTTTACCCACAAGTTCCCTATCAGTTAAGACCTAACCACATATAAAAAGTTATGCCTACATTAATGAATTCCCTAGATGACAGAAAATTCCGAACACAAAATCAGCTCAGTCCCACACCCAGAGTTAACAGATGAGAAAGGCTGACCACAGAAAGTGTTATAGTGAGGTAAACACAGCCCTGAGCCACTGTCGAGAGGACGCAGGAACTCACAGTCTCTGAATATAAGAAATGCCTCTCTGCTCTTCACTCTACTTGTCTCTGGCCTTCACAATAAAACAAAACCAGAAGTAAATCCTGTATCACATATTGATCTTCTGGGACAAATGTGATCTATGTTTTCAAACTCTTGAAGTATCTTACAAGAAGTAAGTGCAGGAAGCAAAATGTCGAGGGTCAGCATTAACGATTTTCAAAGAATATTGTAATGCTTTCTCTGATATAAAATGTATCTGACTGAAGATGAGAGTTTGCATTGAGACTATGAAAGGTATCCCATAAATTCTCCTCTGAATACTTTCTTGATTATATATATATATACACATATATATAAAAGATTTTATATATATATAAACATATAAAAGATTATATATACATATAAAAGATTATATATATTATATATATTTATACATATAAAAGATTATATTTACACATATAAAAGATTATATATATTATCAAAGATAGTTTTAAAAATGTTTTCAAGTCCTACAGCAACCATCTTGAAAGCATTTTGGTGTTTTTGTTTATCTATTTATAAATGACAATTACCAAAAATGATACCTCATTGAAATTTTGTCTTCTCTTTGTTAAAGAAAGAGCAAATCTTTTTCTCCAGGCA